AGCTCCAACTTTCCATTCAATATCATTGATGAAAAAAATCTTTCAACTTTTGTTTAGCAAACACGAGGTGTTATTGTATTTCTTTATTTAAGCACAAGCTGACGTTTCGGCGGATTTCGCCTTTCTCAGATCCTGGAAAGGTCAAGTTGATTGCAATCTACATGGGTAAATACCTCCATAACCAAGTAGAGGAAAAGGTTAAAAAAAATTTTAATCACATTGAACCTCTTCACACACACACACACACACCGCTTTCTATGAGTTTTCCACTAAATATGCCATGTGGAGACCAACCGCACAAAGTTCACGTGGAATCAGAATGTGCCAATCTCATCAAATTAACAGGCTTATATACTGCCCAATATCACGCGTGATAATGAGGCATCCCTCCCAAGAATCCGAAGATGTACCGCAAGGAGGAATAACCTCATCGCACGTGGTATTGGGCAGTATACAAGCTTGTTATTCTAATTGTTATGCCAACATCAAATTGTTATATAAATTTTTACTCAACCACTTTTTAAAGTCTTCGTCTTCTTCACAGCAGGACTGAACAATGGCCTACAGCCAGTCGTTATTACCGCGAAGGTCTTCGTAGTACTATGATGTCAGTCAATGAAGAGGAAGCGAATAGGAATGTGAGAAGTGCTGAGGTCCGCACATCGGACGTGAAGATGGGCCGTATGAATTAAATGAAATGGTGGTACCTACCACTGGGTTGGTTGTTGAGTCGTGTAATTCATCCAAGGCGCTGACACAACTGTTAAGGAGAGAGGATGGTGACAGCAGGTATTTTCTGCCAAATATCCTTCTCTTCCTGTTTTCATCAGCATGTATTGTGCATGTAACACTGCGACGAAACAACTCGTGGAAGTGGGCGATTCGAAATTCATTGTAATATTACAGAGGTGCTTGTTCACCTTTAGCAAGCGTTCATGAAAATCTCATAAAGCGGCTGTGATCCCACAGCGCTGTCTATGTGTTCTATTAGTCATGGTTTAGGAAAAACTGAGTGTTCGAGAAATCGTAACATACTGGAACTGTGTAAGAGCTCCACATTCATCGCTTACTAGCGTTGCTCACCTGGTAATGGAAATATCTTATAAATGTTTTTTAAGTATTTCGGGAACAAACGAGAGAAGTTTATAAGTCTTTCGACGACACTTGGCTTATTCGCCACTTCGCCATCTGCTCCGTGTTTTCTGTAACAGTTCTTTTAAGTACCTCACAGCAATGAAACAATAAGTTCAAAACACAATCACTAAATGTGGAGAAACGGATTGCTGAAATGGTGGAGGAACTTCTTCTATTTGTTAAGCAGCCAATCTCAAGAGGTTTCTCACTTAAAATAAGGACACCGAAAAAAACGCAGTTATTGAGAGATAAAAAGGATAAAGCTCTCTGCGTTGAGCCACCCCAAAGAGATGTGTTATTCGTTCTATTTCATTAAGAATCGTTAGAGGTGATTGAATGCACATCTGACCTTTCAAATGATACGCCATGGACTACCGATAATTCATCGAGCCAGTGCTACTGTCCCCCAGAGAAGTCTGGTACCACTTTGCCGACCTCGGAGAGATGTAGGGTTTATTGTTTTTAGACCACAGGGCTCGATCCGACATGTATTACAGGGCGCCTATGATCACTGTGCTAAACCCGCCCCTATTGCAGTTATTAGTCAAATTAAATGGTTGTTTCTGTGCAAATCAGTAACAAATTTCCTTTTCTCAACATTTCAAAGAACGATTTTTTTTTGAAGGCACAAACGGCACATCTTAAACATTTGTTTTTATTAGGAAGTTGGAAACATTTTAGAAGGTGGCCAAGGAAGTCACAGCTTAGGGTCGTTACAACACTTTTCCTAAGCCACGCCCAGATTCCTTCATTCGTTGGAGCGCCGTCTCAAGTGCAGAACACAAAAGCGATCCGACAGCACGTTTTGCTCTAACGAAGTTGTTTTTTTTCATGATGCGGTTCTTGAATCTTTTAGTGAAATTCTGCAGATGAGCTTCCTTTGGTCACCAAGCCCTTTTGCCGTCCGAAACAAGGCTCTCACACTTATAGAGGATTGCGAAGAAAAACGACTAGTGCTGAATGATTGCGATTTTTACTGCTAAGGGTTGTTCCGCTAATAATGTTGCAAACCGCAAGCTCTGCCTGCTTTTTGTCATTCCACTTTTGTGCTTCCTTGTTGTCATTCGATATATCGATGGATGGATTTCTTCTCAAAAGTGCATCTTTTGTGACGCTGTTTTCTTTCAATTCTGCGTTTCTTTAATTGTGGGAAAACTAAAATTTAATGTTATTGCAGCGAAATTAATATGGCATAAACCCAGTTTAATCTGCAACACTTGAGAAATCAGCGCTTTCATTGAATTGCCTTCAAGTGATCGCTTTCACATACGTCGTTTTTATTTTATACATCACTTCTGATTGTCGATAGCCATATGTTGAGGAGCAGAGCAGCCTTTAGACTCTCCCATATCAATATACCTAGGAGTGGGCAGCCCTTAATGTTAAGGCCTTAATAAAATGTTAGTTCGAATTTTTCCTTGAGTCGAGCAGTTTCCACGTATGTAAAACTCTTGGGAACATCAAAGAGATCCATAATATTGGTATTGCGGTCACTGAGTACGAATGCTTAGGAGAAATTCATTGTTTTCACAACAATCCTAAAAAAACAGGAAATTCTCTTTTCAATTGTAAACTTCGTCATAGGTGCAATTTAGTTAATTTTTTCAGGTGTAATTCTGTTGGAAATGAACAGCCTGGCGAGCATTGCAACTGCTGCGACACGTCCACTGTTGCTTTTTCTTCTCACTATCACCGCAGTGTTTGGATGTGCAGCAGGTCCAGGTGGGACTAGTTATTAATTCGTAGACTGAAAGCAGGGCTTTTAGTGGACTGGTATCAATATTATATATATACATATATACATATATGTATATATATAATATGTATATAGCTGACGGATGATTGCTGTGGCAAAGATCGATAGAAACAGCTGAGAGACAGGCGAAACGAAGGACCCGCATGGTGTGGTAGTGAACGCGTTACTCCCCGGAAAGGACAATAGCGTCAGAACAAATGCTAAGGTTATTCCGCAAAGTGATGTTCCAAACCTAAGCAAAATCGTGTTTTATCTACTCTTCTTAAAAGGAAAAAGGGTGGAGGTCGGCGCTGATCCATCATTGACAGACACGCCATGCATTCAGCTTTATTAAGCGCCGTTAGAGATGAGTGGACGATCTGATCTACTCATTGATGGTAGCATAACAATCCATCGAGTCATTGCTGCTATCCTCCCACACTCCGGTACCAATCTTCCGACTCCGGAGAGAAGGGCTTGGTGTGCCTGGGACACGGGATCTATCCCACGAGTATTCCAGAGTGTCTCTAACCACTGAGGTATGCGGTAAGAGACACATCGGAAAAAGGGTAGGCCTCTTATATCCGTACAAGGTAACAATTAGTTGGGAGAAATAAAAATCGACATGCGCTGAAGACAAACATGGTACGAATGCGCAACAGTGATGGTTTTAAAGTCACTATCAAAATCCTTGTGCAGGAATCAAAAACATCGACGTTCAACACTGTTCTAAGGTGTGGATAAAGTTCAAAAAGTGCAATGGTGAACTGGAAAGACGAGTGCCTCACCATCAAATTTAACAGGGCGTCTTCTTTCAAAGTGACTTTTCAACCAGGCTCTGCCTTACACGTCACCTCACGTGGGGAACACTTGGGCGGTCGTAGGCACAGTAACACGTTGGGCAGTTTTTAATCTGAGGAGAAAAAAACGTACGCTCTGAAGAGCTTTCAAGAACACATAGGATTTGCTGAAGAAAACAAAGAACAGCCGACTCCGTGCCTACCTTTTTGGCTCTACGATATTGCCTATCTAAACGTGCACGTCAGAAACCTGGTCCTAGTGTGAGCAGGATGAAAGATTTCATCAATCAATCACTCAGCGTTATTGAATGTGCAGTCGTAAGGGCGATGCTAGGAGCATCCCTCGTCAAACAAATGAGAGAAGCAGTCAAAAACCAAAGGTGTCGTTTTATACGTCAAACTGTTGAAGATATTGTTGGCCTGACAAGCAATGCGTATGAATGAAAACTGATGGACAAAAGCCATTGGTGACTGGGTCCTTGGGAATGTTGGAGATTTCGAGCGTACTGCAGAAGAACCACCGACCAGATGGCTACAGTTCTCCACTAAAAGTTTAGAAGAAAGGAAAAAACTTCGCCGAATCCCCAAAGCGAGCGAAATGCCCTGGGCTGCTCTTGCACTCGACAAGGAAATATGGTAGATTCACCGTCGCCCACTCGAGTCACTCGGCGGTCAGCGGACCGATAGATAGTGCAGATGAAGACACCGTTAACATGAGAATTGAATATCAAGATCTAGGCATCGCTGCTTAACTAACTGTTTGCCAATTTTTTTATTTGTTTGGTAAGGTTTAATTAGCCCCAAGTTTTACTCACAACGGTCAAACGATCTTTACGTTAATATCATTGGTAGATGATTTCAAATAATAAAATTATTACAGTCATCATGGTGTCCCTGTATTTAAAGCTTTTTCAATCCTGCTCTTCCACTTCAACCCTTCACTAGGACGGTGATGGTTCGACTTCGCCTCGGATTCTCGAAATCTCTTGTCCCTCCACGAACCTGAAATTCTTACCGGACTTGTCTGGGCATGGTCCACTGTTTACAATACAAAAACTCAGTGGCGCGGTCGACAATTATTCAGTAGCCGAATGTGCGAGGCAAACTTGGAAGGTTTTCGTGGATGATGGGTGCGATGGAGCGAATCGAACGCGTGAAGTGCTTGGATGCACACAGTGGATGTGAAGGCTAGGTTATGGAAGATAAATTTTAAAAAATTGGACAACTTTTATTAATACAATCGTAATATTGTGATTTTAACATTCAACTTGAATTTACTCGGCAAAAAGTAACCAGATTTAGCTGCAATGAGCTCAAGGACCTTTAACGTTATGGGCTTCACCTTGCCGATACCTATGGTTTACTCAATGGCAGCTGGTGCAACTGCTCAGGCACCTACTATTTCGACGAGTGAAAATGGAGCTAAACAATTTGTGATGCGTATTGTAATGCAAGCAGTGAGTTCGCATCCTTCGGATACATTCAATGAAAGCAGAAATTTCTAATAATTTAGCCTACATCTTCATATTAACTGGGTTTGTATGGTTTTAGATATTTTAATTGAAAAGTTCAATATAAAGTCAACCGGTTAGTAAAGACTCTGTCTTCCAGGTGTTTGATGTTCTCGAGCAGCAGGGTCGCGCCGCAGGCCTCCCGGACCCAATAATCCAAGCCATTTTGGATCAACTCACTGTGAAAATCACATACCAACCCCTGCGATGCGACAGTATTTCTGTTAACCCAATGCCAGCAGCAGCTAGTTAGTTTCCAACTTTCAGCATCTATTCGTGAAAGCCCCTCCAATGCTAACGAAAACTAGGAAAACTCTGTTGTTCTCTTTTTTACAGCAATCGCGAGGTTGACATTCAGCACGTTATTCCGCGTTATTCCGTCTATGTGTAACACCAAATTGCGTAATTTGCCCTTACGGCAGAGACGGTGACTGCATGAATTCAGGTACGATATACCTGCTTTCATGCAGTGTTTGCGGAGATGAATATATTGGCGAAACTTGCAGACCTTTATGTATCCGCATAAAACAACACCTAGAGGACAAACGGAAATCAAAACTAGGCACGCCACCAGGCACGTATAGGATTCAAAACATACCGGAGACGATTTTAATGTAAAAGCCACTATCATCGCACGGTAGACCAAAACGCCAACGCGCAAATTTCTCGAATTGGAATTTATCCAAAAATACGAGAACAAATAGCAGCGGTAAATGCCTTGAGATAACGCGTGATCTAGCACAGTAACTCCGAACTGATTATTGACGTGCAGTGGTGCAGTGACCAGTCATGTGCGACCTTAAGCGGTTGTTCTTCCTCGGTTGAAGGCAGGTAAAAACGATGGGTTTTCGAGAAGCCGGTGATCGCGTAATTCTTGTTAAGATTTTCACCTTTCTGTTCGGGTTGTTGAAACGTTTGACCTAGTAGATTACATATTAGTGTACCCTTCCAGGCTCTGAAGAGGCTCGATACTGCCGAAACGTCAGCTGCCCTTGTGTTGTATGGGTTATATTTGTGAGGAATCAAACGTGGGCTGAATAACAAGCTCGCGATTTTCTGGAAAAAAAGAGAACGACGTATTTATAGTCCAATGCCAAGGTTAATAGAAAGTGGATCTTGGGAAGTGTTAAAAGAACCCTATTGCCTTGAATGCTGTCATGAACCCTGTAACGTTAATTTCACAGTATTCGACAAGTTATTTTAAGGCAAGTGTATCAACTCAATGTTTAAATTATAGATGTTGCTCTTCCAGGGATTATCATTATTTGTTTACTATTATTATTGTGTTATAGGTGGGTTAGCGTTGCAGTCTATTACATCAGGAAACAAGGTTCTGGTTCGGCCTCTTACAGCTCTCCCCTTCTACCTACATCGGAACGCCTTAGCAGGGCTATCCCGAGAGCTGCGAGGAGGCTTTTGTGTGCTATGGTTGCGAAAAATACAAATGGTGTATAAGAAATACTGAGATCTGCATTGTGAACGCGATAGCGGGTCGTGTAACATAAAATGAGTAAAATAACAACCATAATGCTGAGATACTTGCAAAACTCCAGACCGCAGATGTCTGCGGTTTGATTCAAACGCGTTATTACTCTTTCCGAGGCCTGACACGTTTACCACCTCACCACATGGGTTCTTCGTTTTGCCTTCCTCTCGCCTAATTTCCTAAGACGATATATTTTTTATTTTTTCATTTTCATCGATTTCTCTAAACAAAATGACTTTGCCATCCTCACCTTGTTATTATCAGCAGTCACTTGATACTTGATGAGCCCGTCCTCACTGGTTGTGCGGTTCCCAGTACAATCTCCATTTTTCGGAGATCTGCTGGTTAATCCATTATTCCCATGACCAACTTTCTGTTAACCTCGGCATTAATTGATAATTCAATGTTTTTCATCAATAAGCAGACACGAGGTTGTTAATATAGAACCAAGTTTAATTACCCAAGTTTGAAGCTCTGAAAAAGGCGAAACCGCCAAAACGTCAGCAATTGCGTTCTAATAAATTTTATATTAACAACCTCGTGTCTGCTTATTGATGAAAAACATTTAATCCATTATTGTTATCTATAGTTCTGACGTCAGCCAGGCAAAGTCCGCCCAAGGCCTTCACCACCACAGACAGTCGCAGTCCATGTGGGCCGAAGGGAGATTTACCACCATTGAACTTTGATACCGGGACGGTGGTATATTCTCGCATTGGTTTACGCTTAGCTAAGCTTCCTGATGCAAACGTCAGACTCCTTCGCAGCTTAGGACACCCTGCTTGAGAGTCGAAATTACCCACTGTACATCGCAGCCACACCTTCACGAACACCTCGCAGCTACGATGAGGCGATAAACCGTTGAGAGGATTATCAGGAATTATCATTAACGATTTAGAGAGTGATCAAGAATGTCATGTTAAGATTGTTCTAGTTGTTTTTTTTCTCATTTGACGTATTTTGTTTTCTTGAGTGGAAAGGTTGCGAACCTACAGAGAAAAAAACCAAATAAGGGCAGAAGATCGCTTTTTTAGTGGAGATTGTACCGGGAATAAAATTCAACTAAAAATAATGAATCAGAGCAGGTAAACATAGATGACAATTTCGTCTTGAACAGCTTAATGAACGTCGAGACAGCGAAGAGGGCAAAATTTTTCATACTCAACCTTTCTTATATAAGTCCGTTACACCTCAGAATTTTTTCTGCACGGCTTAAGTGATTTATACAAACAATTTATGTTCTCTGTTTTTAAAATAAAACTGAAAAAAGAAAATTCGTAAGTTTTGTGGATGATCATGGAGACACATCAAGATGGCCATCTCTGTCCTGTCATTTATTTTTGGAAACGGCAGAGTAAATGGTGGTTATCGGACTGTTTATTAGTGCAGTCCATGTTAATCAGTAGCAAGGTTCTTGCTCGACCACCTCCATAACGCTGCCTTTTAATGCACATGGGAACACTTCTGCTTGACAACTCACAAGGTTGAAAGCACAATCCACTAAACCAGCATTCTGCGACATGCATGAAGAAGTCGAAATCATCAAGTAGTACCGAGGTAAAACGCAAAATAATTTACTGTTTTCTTAGAATTTGCCTGCTGGGCTTTTTTCAGAGCTTGGACAGGTCAAATTAACACGCAATCCACTCATCCAAACCTTTTCGTAACCTCAGCAGGTAAAACTTGGGGAAGAAATCCCAACTCGTATAATAAACAGCTTCTTTTAAATACTGATCATTTCAACTAATTGAACCTGCTTTCACTTAACCTCTGCGTGAGTACTCAATTAATTTATTAAGATTATTTAGCGTACACGAAGTTATTAAGCAACTTTCACTGGGCTTAGGTTTCAACGTCTTCGTCTTGTTGAGAGCCGAAGAGCCGCGTGCGCAGACGCTGTTCATTGCGTTGTGGGTCTTCATATCCGTATCCAGTCAAACCTTCTTCATTGTAGCACCACTTAATTGAGAACATCACTCGTTCCATTTTATAGAAGAGACTTCTTCACTATTTTGCGTCTGGCAATGATTTCTTTTTCGGAAGTTCATCCTGTAGCAGTCGGTATTAGAGTAGTCATCACACGAAACTTCGGCATGAAAAAAATCATTGTTAGTCGGCAATCATTAATGTACAATCCTGTGTAAAAGAAGCGCTGTTGCGTTACAATGTTACACCTTTTTATTTTCTGCCTACTATAATTTCGCGGCAGGGTACTAAGCGAAATACAACCACAACGTTGCTGAGATATTTGCAAAACTCTGGACCGCAGGTGTCTATGGTGGGGAACGAACGCGCTATTGTTCTTTCCGGGAAGTATCGCGTTCACCACCACACCATGCAAGTCCTTCGTTTCGCCTGTCTCTCAGCTATTTCTATCGATCTTTGCCACAGCAATCACCCGTCAGCGGGATTGATGGATCAATGCAAATATCTCAGCAACGTTGTGGCTGTTGAGTTAGCTTCTGACTGGAGTGGTGCTTCGCATGAGTGCATTCGACTCGATGCGACTACGAAAACCCATAGCGAGACGCCTAGCGGCTGTGGGCCATCGAGCGGGATCGTTGGTTGTGAGGAAGGGCGTTAAAAAGAGAGCCAAATAAAATATTATTGCCCGAATAAAATTTGACCATTGAAATTTTATCGGCTTAAGTAATTAAGCTGTCTGGCTGAGCATGTTGCTTGTCGGTTTAATTTTTCTGGCCTCTGAAAAACGATCCAGCTGTAATATCGGCTGTTGAGCCAGAACAGTGTGCTATAAACCTGGTGTCTACTCATTATTAAAACAATGAATTATTGATGAACGACGAGGTTAAGACAAGGTTACTGCTTGGGTTTGCAACATGAGAAACATTCGACTTCCTTCGCAGACGATGAATGCGAGGGAAGCGGATCCAATAGAAGTGCGAGGGGTACGCACAGTAGATGTCACGATGGGTTGTGCAATAATTATAGTAAAAATCTTTGTATTTTCATTAAGAAATAATACAAATAGTGAAAATGGCAAAAAATAGAAACAGAAAACAGTTTTTTTTGTACGGCTTTTGAGTGGATCCAAACCATGCATTTAGTAATAAACGAGTTGCTTGCAGTTCCGGCCATGATGAACATGAACACCTGCGTCATCATCGGCAATACGGTGACTGCAATCTGCAGTGGCCAGGACTGTATGCTGAACGCTGTCGCGAATTTCCAGCCTTTTCCCGCCACGGCTCTGACAATTTCAGGAACTCTCACGGTTTGAATTCCAATTTCCGCACAGTTTTGTTTTACAAAGAAAAAATTTTGTGCAGACCACAAATATCATCATGGCAAATTGGAGTAGAGAAATGTGGCAAGGCGTGGTGAACAGAGTGGTTCGAATGCTGGCGTCGGGACCGTTTGCTGCGAACTTCATCTCAGCAGTTGCCACCGTGTCATGAAAAAAAGACGCCTACCGAGGACTCCTTGGAACGAACCATCCATTGACATGATACTTCAAACCGTTGTCTTGTGAAATCAATAAACTGGTTGACCAGAAGGTGCTCAATATTTATTGAAGAGAGCGTGGAAAACTACAATAAAGTGCACTACATTAAGAATATTTCGTTTGCCAGTAGTAGTTGTTCCATGTATCTCGCTCCGTGGAAATATTAAATTTCGCATAACGGCTTTCGAAGCCAGCAAAGATGTAAATGAGAATTAAGAAAAATTTTCGTCCACGGTGATATAGCTGTTAAAATACTTCATGGCCCACTAAATATTTTTAAAATTTTCTTAGGTATTGTCTT